ACCTGAGAGAACATCTCTCTGGGGATCTCTAGGTCCTCCAGTGCAACTCGGTCACCAACGTCTACCAGACATTGACCATAGAATTGCACTGGAGGAGCTACAAATGTCTAGTGGAGTCTCCTCTCTAGGAATCTCTAGGTCACTGATGGTGAACCTTTTAGAGACTGAACTGTAACCCAAAACTCATTTATTTATCGCATCCCTCTGATTTTCTAGTAACGAACTCTGGCAAACTTTGTGGTATGGAAAAGGCATGCGTGCCCACAGAGAGGGCTCTGAGTGCCACCTTTAGCACCCGTGCGATAGGTTTGCCATCACTGCTCTAGTGCGACTTTTGGTTAAATTTGGTTAAATTTGACCATATAGTTGCGCTGGAGGACCTAGATACTCCTAGAGAGAACATATTAATAAAATCAATGAATAATCAGATCCGCAAAAGTGAAAACCGCAAATGCGGAGGGATGAGTGTATAGTCATTTTATTAAAATGATGTGACTATAATGAGAGGTAGTGTGGCATAGTGGTTTAGTGTTGCACTACAGTTCTGGAAGTCAGGGTTCAATTCCCCACTCAGCCATGGAAAACTTGGGTGAACCAGACACTTTCAGCCCCAGAAAACCTTCTGTTATTGTTGTCATAAATTGGAAATGAAGACACACAGCAACAACAAAAAATACATAATATATGTGTATACATATAAGGAAATGAGTGTGTAAAACAGAGAAATGGGTCAATACCTTTCTGCTGTTGACACGCTGTTTGCAATGTTTCAGTTGTGTGTGTGCCTTCAAGTCACCTGTCGACTTATTTATTTACTTGATTTATATGCTGCCTTTCTCTCAGGCTGGGACCCAAGGCGGATTTCGTAACAACAAATTGGTTACAAAAAGTTTTAAAACCAGTTTAAAAACACCACATTAAATGCCATAAAGCTGATTTAAAATCATGCACAAGTTAAAAACAGATAAAACATACATCTATGTTAAAAAGCTACCAGCTTAAGCATCAAAAGCTTGCTTAAATAATGATGATGATAATAATAATAATAATAATAATAATAATAATAATAATAGTTCTTGTTCTTGTTATTATTTTATTTATGTCCCGTCTTTCTTCCAGTATAGGGGACTCAAGGCGGCTAACAACATTTAAAACAGTACAAGTTAAAAACAATACGCAGCATTAAAATACAGGTACAAAGTTTAAAAAAACAAACAATTTGAAAAACATTACACATTAAAATTAAAGTATATACGAAACTCTATGCAAACCATATACAATCACCCCTCCGTTCTTGCAGACTTGAGATCTGCGGTTTTAAATATTCACAGAGGGGCGACCTCCATTAAAATCAATGGAGCACGCTTCATTCAAGCCTATGGGGCTTGAATATCAGTGAGTTTCCGTTTTTGCGGGGGGGGGGGGGGGGGGGGGGGCGTCCGGAACAGATCCCTTGCGAAAACAGAGGGCTGACTGTACAAACCTATGGCAACCCCATGGGTTTCATAAGGTTTTCTTAGGCAAGAAATAGAGATGCTTTTGCCAGTTCCTTCCTCTGAAATATAGCTTACAGCACCCAAGAGCTGGCTGTAAAAAGTATATAAGGGGGGGGGGGGAATCTTGCAGCAATGCAGAAAGCAGAAGTTAAAAATAATATTGAAACCTCAATCTTAGTTGTGATGGGGAAATTAATTTGTTTTTTCAAGGTTTAAAAAAAATAAACAATTTTGAAAAACATTACATATTAAAATGTAAAGTACATACAAAACTCTATGCAAACCGTATACATCACTTTGAATATTCTGATTCTTCCTTAGGATGGTTTTCCTAGGATGGTTCTAGAGGTTTTCATTAAAGTTAAATTTGGAAATTCTGGCTAAAATGTAGACATGCAAGCTTCAGTTTGTAACATGTGCGTACATGCTCACAAAAACAAACACGCACCCGCTTTCTGGTCACCTAGTATTGTGATTCACTTCCCCTTTCCTGCCTATTGCACAGGAAACTGCTGAAATGAAGCATCTTGAGCGTGGTTAAGCAGCTGCTTTGGGATAGCGATGATAGCAAGTGACAGAAAAAGAAAAGGCAGGGTGACCAGATGCGATCACCACAAAGGAGGACAAGGCACCACAAAATGTAGGGCATTTCCAGAAAAAGAGAGTGCGTGACCAAATAAGAGCTAAAAACACTCATAGAAATATAAATTCATGATGCTTAGGCATGCTCCAAATGGAGGACATTTTGAAATTTCTCCTAGACAGCAGGGCATAGTCCAACTGTGGACTATGAAATGGAGGACATGTCCTGGAAAAGAAGGACATCTGGTCTCCCTGAGCAAAGGTGGAATTGAGCTGGAAGGCTTTCAGCTTGGCTAGAACTTAGCTTTTACTCACATTGACTTTTTTTTTTTTAAAAAAATAATTCTTCTCTTTTGATTTCCTTGCAAGATAGTTTTTTTTAAAACTTATGAAGTTTTATCCAAATATATGGTATGTTCTCTTTGCAAATGCCATTGGGGAGAGGTGGGTGAAAAGGGAATTAAATAAGTAAATAATACTTTGCACAAGCCAGCATGGCGTCATGGTTTGTGTGTTGGACTGTGACTCTGCAGACCAGGGTTCAAATCCCAGGTCTGCCGTGAAACCCACTGGGTGACCTTGTATGAGTCCCACTCGCTCAAGGCCTCCATTAGTTGGAAATGACTTGAAGACACACCACCACAACAGCATGCTCAGAGGCAATGTGTCCTTATACCTGTTACTATAAAAAAAAAAAAACACACACCAGAAGTTGATGCCTTTCCCATGCTTATGGGCATGTTGCCTTGCAAGGTGGGCATGGGCAGCTCTTGTTTACCTTTAGGGAAAACTTTGGATTTCTGGAACGCGTATGAGCAACCTCATGTTTTCAAGCTGTTTCCGACTTGTGGAAACCTTTAGTGTTTGAATAGAAGAAGGAATTTCAGCAGACTTTGCTTGTTGTTACCTAGTTGCATGACAAGCCACACCTGTTGAAGGTCTTCTGCACAACCATTATAGGTCCAGGAGACCTCTCCAGTTTTCAGTCTGAAAACAGTTTTCTAAGGCTGCATCCACACTGCAGAAATAATCTGGTTTGACACCACTTTAACTGCCATGGCTCAATGCTATGGAATTCTGGGAACTGCAGTTTATTGTGGCACCCAGAATTCCATAGCATTGAGCCATAGCAGTTAAAGTGGTGCCAAACCGGATTATTTCTGCAGTGTGGATGCAGCCTCAGATAGCCCAAACAAAAAATATATTAGCCTTCTCCTTCACAACTCTATCCAAGAGTTATTGCATTCCTGAAAGCTGGACTACTGCTAATTATTTTCCTCCAATTGCTTTTCTTCCTGGCACCTTGGGTTGTGCCAGTCCTATGCCATCCACCAGAGCTAAGCTCTCTGCCAATTCAAGTCTGGCGTATTTCAAAAGCACCACACCTTATCCTGTAGGCTTAGGGTGTCTGCTTGAAAATTTAAAAACTTATCACCTGCATTAAATAGAATAACATCTTTATTATGGTCATAGACCAACACAACCTGCAATAAATAAATAAAGACAGTTAATTAAAAATACCTGGGAGGGAAGCTAGAACAGAACTTGGAGGAAGGGAGGTTTATTTTCTTGGGCAGCATCCACTCTGCAGAAATAATCCAGGTTGATACCACTTTAACTGCCACAGCTCGATGCTATGGAATTTTGGGAACTGTAGTTTTGTGAGATGTTCAGCCTTCTCTTTCAGACAACTCTAGTGCCACAACAGACTACATTTCCCAAGAATTCCATAGCATTGAGCCATGGCTGTCAAAGTGGTGTCAACCTGAATTATTTATGCAGTGTGGATGCAGTCTTAGACAACTCAATGTCAGACAATTTAATCCTAGAGTGTGGAACTAGATACTTTACTTAACTACAGGGCCTTTAGAAACATTAATTTTTGTGGACAATTCCCAGAATCCTCTAAGCAGCATTGCCACTGCTATGACCACTGGCCGATTGTAGTTCTCATGTAAATACCCAATTTTCTAATTTGTGTTGAATCCCTGTCTATGGTGAATATTTCATTCTCTGTCCTGGAATACTAATATTACTTCCCTCTCTGCTTCTCCTCCCATAATGGATAGTTGCCTAAATTTGCTGTTCACAGTTCCCTCTTGCACTGTTTATTCCATCATACTTACATTTTTAATAGGTTGAATTTATAGAGTACTTTGCACTCTGTTCCAAGAGTTCCATTTGTGCCCTCTCAGCAGTCCTTAAAACAACCCTTTGGATACCCATTTTCCAGGTGAATTAAGGACCACGAGAAGTCATTTGGATTGCCTAAAGCTTCCTATTGAGTTGGAGAATCAACATGGCATAGTTTGGGCATTGGACTAGGTTTCTAGACAACAGGGTTCGAATCCTGGCTCTGCCATTAAACCTACTGGGTGACCTTGGGCAAGTCACACTTTCCTTCTGAACAAAACTGGCCAAGAAAGCCCCACGATAGAGTCACCTTAGGGTCGCCATAAGTCAGAAACAGCTTGAAGACGCACAACAGCAAACCTATTGAGTTGATGCCAAGCATGACACGCACAGCATAGTCTCCGTGCAGCCCAGTTATTTTAGCAATAAATCTGAATCAGTGGAGCTTGCATTCATATAAAGTGCATGGGAATGCAGTCTTAACCATAAAAATCTGGCCTCCATTTTAACCCTAAAGTAGTCATCTGGTTTATGGATGGTCCACCACCCCCATTTCTTGTTTGCCTTCAAGTCATGTCCAACTTATGGTAACCCTATCATGGGGTTTTCTTGGCAAGATTTGTTCAGAGGGGGTTCACCATGGCCTTCCCCTGAGGCTGAGAGAGTGTGACTTGTCTAAGGTCACCCAGTGAGTTCCATGGCTAAGTTGGGAATCAAATTCTGGTCTCCAAAATCGTAGTCCAACACTCAAAACTACTATGGCATGATGGCTCCACCACCCTAATACTTGGTCTATATGCCTTTGGAAATGTGCCATCTTTCCTTCATCTGTGTCTTTGGTCAGAGAGTGTAACATAGCGGAAAGAGCCTCTGGACTTTAAACTGGGGGAGTTGTCGTGTGCCTTCAAGTCGTTCCTGACGTATGGTGACCCTAAGGTGTACCTATCATGGGGGGGGGGTTGTTGGCCAAGTTTCTTTACAGGAAGGGTTGTCATTGCCATCCTTTGAAGCTGAGAGAGTGTGACTTGCCAAAGGTTACCCCGGGGAGGTTTCCATGGCTGAGCTGGAATTTGAACTCTGATCTCAAGAGTCATAATGCCATTGGGAAATGTGCCATCTTTCCTTCAGCTGTGGCATTCATTAGAGAGCATAGGATAGTGAAAAGAAAGTGTGGACTTTAGACTGGGGTAAGAACTGGATTTGAATCCCCATGACAGATCTGGTGCTGGCGCCTCTTCCCAGACTTTTGCCCAATTTGCAGGAACATTTGGAAGATAACATGGGCACAGAAAAGGCTGGGATAAGAATGCTACACATCATCCACTGTGCCCTCTCCTTATCCAAGCCAGGTCCTGTGCAAAACTGC